GTAGCGGTCGACGCGCTGCTCGTGGTCGAGCCCGTGGACGACGCCGGGCAGTTCGCCGGCACGTAGTCCACCAGGTCGGCGAGCAGCAGGATGTTGTCGCCCACCGGGATGACGCACTCGGACAGATCCATGGCCTGAACGTCGGCGAGCAGGCTCTTGCAGGCCGACGAAGCGCACATCTTGTCGATCGTGTCTTGGTCCGGGATGCTGGCGGCCGTGAACACGTAGCCCGAGTCCGTCGCGCACTGGTCAATGTACTGGTCTGTCAGCAGTGCCGATAGCACCGACGACGAGCAATCCGCGTACGAGCCGCTGGTGCTGGCAGCGGAGACGGTCGACACGATGGCAGCAAAGATAGCGAAAGACTTCATCTTGGATGGTAGTGCTTTGAAGAGGATTTGTCGTTGAAGAGGCAAATTGAAAAGTGAACGATCCAGGAGGCGGCGAAATTCTGTAGCGCCGGCACCTGCCGGCCACCTCTTGTCACCTCGGATCTCTTCGATCTAAACGCTCTTGCTAGTTGCACTGCGATCAGAGCTCATTGCTATGTTAGGATCGACTAGAGCCCAACACAAGGAACTTTGAGCGCGCCGTGGCGTCTTCAACTTGATGGCCGCTCCCGGCATATCCTCGCTGGACACGTGAAAAACATCCGAACATCTCTTTATCATGGCCAGGCGATATTTCGCGGTGTTCGAAGCGAACACGCTGACATAGTGAGGACAAGAACAAGCAGAATTTGCCAACATTTTAGAAGTTCAAAATGATAGTCATTCAAGTTAACGGGTAGAACGACTACAACATGTAAGCCTCCGACTCTTAATAACTAGAGCGAGGCTGAAGACGAGCTCAAAAAGCAGCAAAGTACTCGCGCGGGCTGCAGCAGGCTGCGAGTCGATCCGAGGAGCGCTTAGCAAGCGATAGGGGTCTTGGTCGGGGCAGCGGTCGGCGTGTCCGTGTCCGTCGAGTTGTCCGGGGTCGACGGAGCGTCGGTCGGGGCATCCGTAGCGGGCGATTCCGGGCTAGGAGCCTCCGTAGCGGGTGAGCTCGGGGCGTCCGTGGCAGGGGAGTCCGTCGACGGGCAGTGGGCCGGCACGTAGTCCACCAGGTCCGCCTTCAGGTTGATGCCGGGGCCGACGGGCAGCTGGCACTCCTCCAGGTTCATGGCCTGCACGTCGGCGAGTAGGCTGTTGCAGGCGGTCGAAGCGCACATCTTGTCGATGGTAGCCTGGTCCGGAATGTTAGCGGCCGTGAAGGCGTAACCCGAGTCCGTCGCGCACTGCTGGATGTTGGCGTTCGTGAGCAGAGACGACAAGACGGCGCTGCCGCAGGTAGCGGCTGAGGCCTGGGACGTGAGAGCAGCGACGGCAACGGCGGCAAAGAAGAACTTCATCGTGGAGAGTTGGAGGATGCGGTAGGATAGCTTGGATTTGTCGCTTTAGATGCAAATTGCAAAGTGAATGATCTGGCAGGAGTCAATTCGATCGGGTAGGAGCTCCGAGCTCGCACTGTTCGACAAGTGCAGCTCAGCTGAGGCGTGTCCCTCGACGGCGGGCACCCAGCGAATCGCTGCGTGATGGGGAGTACACACGTAAGGCTGATCAGTGCATCATCGCTGTTGGAAGACGGTTGACACGACAGTTGAAGCTGTGCGCGGTCAATGCTTTCCCGACGTGCGTCAAGAACTCGCCGTGTAGGTTGCAGTGCAACATGAACGCTTTACAGGCGGTTGAAGAGGGAGGGCATTCAGCGGGAAGTGACAACCGTGGGATCTCGTGTCAGCCTTTGCGCCGTATATGCTGTACCGGCACAGATGGTGGCTGCTTAGCCTGAGCTCACTCCACCGCAATTACGGCTTGCGTTCTTGAAGAGGAATCCGAGTGATAATAGAGAGGGTGTAAAAACGAAAACTACATCATTTATCTTGACTACATCTCTGTCAGATGCGGAATACGTTGAGGATATTTAGCAATTGGAGCTGCACGGCGCAGTGGCCAACTGATCTTCTTCAGTGAAGAATCTTCAATGAGAGATCCGGTGCAGGGTATTCTGCAAATTGCGAGAATTCAACAGAAAGAAAGGGAAAGAAATTTTGCAAGGGAAATACTACTGCATGCCGCCGTTTTGAGAATGACAAGTGCTCCCACTGCCACTTCAACGTGGATGTGATCAATGCCCATCATATCTCATAAGTATCCGCATGGTTATTATTTTTGAGACTTGGATAAAATCCGCGGATTCATTACGAACACCAAAAGGTTCAAGTGTTGACTTCAACGTGCAGAAGCTTTTCGCCTGGGACTTGCAAGCAGCATTGCCACAACAAAAATTGCAGCTGCACCAATGAATTTTGTTCGTCAAGATATCCCCCCGGCAGCATTTGGCCGGCAGCAGCGTGTGCAATGTTAAATTCGTCGAGCGATTCAAGGCTGGACTGGTGTTGCATCGTGCCGCCGATGCACCTTCGAACGCTGCCATAGAGAAGGAAGTGTACGAAACTTGACCTGAGATGTACGAAGTACGACAGTACGGTCATTTCAGTCCTCGCTCGAAGTGTGTGCATGCACAATAGAGCAGTGTTGTCCGGACGCCAGGAAGCCATCCAGCTGGGCAATTCACGTCGACTGGGAGCGCTTTTCGACGGGTGAAACCTGGAATTGACTATTCAATGGCTGTATCCCTGTGAGGCGGGCTTGAAGTGTTCAAGTAAATCTTACAAATACTACCATTGCTACAACGGGCACACAGATGCATGTGTATCGAAAGACAGCTCCATTACAGGTGCTTTATGTAAAGTCATGCATTGCCTCGGAGCCCGAATACTTAGTACATGATTCGAGCTCGATGATATTTTAAGGCGAATGCATGGCACCGCAGCTAGGGCCAAACACTGTCGTCTTGGCAGGCATTTTACCAAATGACAAGACTGAAAACATGTTGGCCGCCGCAGTTTCCATCGAGACGGAGGCTGAATAAATCTCAGGCGCTGGTCTGGGACAGCAGCGCAGTCATGGCAGACGTCGAGCACACTAAAACCAAGTCACTTGCAAAAACTAAGGGATGTATCTTGTCCGTCGACAGATGCCCCATTTCTGCGTTTCGCATCCAATTTAGTCCGCGCTATGTCTACATGGACAACTGTGTCGGAAGAGCAGTCGCGCCCAGCACGCGAGGGAACTCAAGCTACGAAATGGAGCCGCCGCCGGCACGTCCCCGTCCGGCACTTTCGAATTTGACGTCGTAATCGACTCGGACAAGCTCGATCTGCTTTCAGTCTCAGCAGTGCCCACTTTTCATCGGTTGTATCTACTGCAGCTACTCCGACGGAAAGTATGAAGACGTTCGCCGCGCTCGTGTGCGCCGCCGTGGCCGTGTCGGCCGCTTCGGCGCTTGAGGACCTGCCGGTGTCGCTGTGCCGCGACGCCACCTACAACTCGCCCGCCTCGCGCGGTGCCATGTGCTCCGGTGCCGGTGCGGCGCCGGCCGGCACGGCTTGCCCGCTCAAGGGCGATGTGGCTATCGCAGACTGCTACGACTACCTGCCGTCATGGAACGGTAGCACCTGCGTGGCGCCTGAAGACGCCGAGTGCACCATTGTTAACGGGGATACCTGGGGATGCGTGCTCCCGTCCGTCGGCTGCGGCACAGCCACCACTCCGTGCCCGGTGACGGCTCTGCCGGATACGCCGTGCCCGGTGACTTCACTACCGGACACTCCATGCCCTGTGACGGCGCTACCGGATACGCCGTGCCCGGTGACTTCGTTGCCGGACACCCCGTGTCCCGTGACGTCTCTGCCTGATACACCGTGCCCGGTCACCTCGCTGCCTGACACCCCGTGCCCGATCACCTCGCTACCTGACACCCCGTGCCCGGTCACCTCGCTGCCTGACACCCCGTGCCCGGTCACCTCGCTGCCTGACACCCCGTGCCCGGTCACCTCGCTGCCCGACACTCCGTGCCCAGTGACCTCTCTGCCGGACACGCCGTGCCCAGTGACGTCGTTGCCTGACACCCCATGCCCGGTAACCTCGAAGCCGGACACGGAGACTACTCCATGCCCTGTTACCTCGAAGCCGGACACGGAGACTACCCCGTGCCCTGTAACTTCAAAGCCGGACACGACCGTGACTCCTTGCCCTGTGACATCGCTACCGGACACCGATGCGCCGACGTCGACACCGTGCCCGGTGACTTCGCTGCCGGAGACGACGGCTCCGACTCCTGCTGCGACTACGCCTTGCCCTGTGACGTCGCTACCGGAGACGGAGGCCCC